AGGCACACATTCTAGAGTCTCAGGATAGCTGTGAGGAGGATTCCCTTTCCACCCCCAGACATTTAAATTCATCAAATACATGTATTTCTTTTCTCACATAGATTCTTAATCCAGCATAGAAGGACTATGTAAGTCTAGCCCTTTTGTTCTAAAGCTCAGTATTACATTAGGTAAAATATTTTAAAAGTTATTGTACATGGAAAGGGGAAGTTTTTTTCCAATTATTAGAAATGAGAGACTCTTACCTGCTTCAGAACATTTCATGAAGGGATCTGGCTAGCACTTCTGCTTTGGAATTTCACACTTAACAGCTTTTGAATTTTGGAAACACAGCTCCTGCCCCCCACCCCATTTTTTAACCAATATATTTATACTCTTAATGAGATGGGATGTTCCATTTTGTGGAAGGGATAATTCCCTTCTCTACAAAGCAATGTTCTTTGTAGATTTCATTTGCTGAAAAAAGAAAAAAGTCAAGGCTATTCGATATATGTATATATATATATATAAATATATATATTATATATATCTGTCTTATGATGGACTTTGATTTCCCCCTGTTTGTCTCCACTTGTGTAGATAGTTACTGGGTTAAATACTGCAATTCATATTTACTGTTAGGTTTTTTTGTTTTGGATTGGTTTTTGGTTGGTTTTGATTGGTTGGTATTTTTTAACAGATCTTTCTAGATACTCTTCCTTTGTTCCATGGTAAAATACATGAAATGTAAAGCTGAATTTTTAGTCTTTCTATTTTAGGCAAAAAGTGTGGAGTTAAAGATGAGGGAAACACAGCTCCTTTTAAAATTAATAGATGAAACAAGTGGAAACTTGGTCTTGTACCTAAAATTTTACATTTTCAATAATCTCAGAAAATAAAGTAGAAAAGCGTAAGTTTCATCTCATCCCTAAAGAATTAATAAGAATTATAAGAATTATTTATCAGCCAGGGCTGATAATATAGTATTTGCAGAAGTTGTCATGTCTGGATTTTCTCCTGCTGAAGCAGTAGTAAAAAGCAAGTATTAAGTTGGACAGCACCCCAAATCTTGACTAGATCTGCAAGCCTGCTTTGCTGAGAAGGTGATCCTGTCCATTTAAATTATTTTTGTCCTTACTAGCTACTTCTTGACCTGAGTTTTGTATCAGCTCTAGTTATGAAGCACTGGTCTGCATCAGCATATTATCTGTTACTAGTTTATTTATGAGTACTCATTGCAAAACAAAACATTTCTGATATACTCACCAGGGATAATAGCATCCTCTACTGAATTCTGAGATTCATTCGAAGAGAATGGTCTAAATTTTATTCTTACATGTGAAATTACCAAAAGATATATTCTTTTTCCAGCACCAGACATGCAGTTCTCTTTTTAGCTTGATTGATCTTGTGACTGTTCTTAGAGGTGATTTCTCTTATCTCTTGTTCTGGTCTGACTTGGACATCCCATTTTAAATGCGGGATTTGTATATTATTGGTATCTTTGATATGAGTAATACTTTCTTATGTTAGGCAAATTTTTATATCTTTATTTCATTTGGAACCAGGAAATGATATTTCATTTTTTAAAATTAGAAGCTCTTTTCTTAAAAAAAAAAAATAAATGGTGGTTTGTAGCAGATCTTAGATTTCAGTTTTCTGCCTAAATACAGTTATGTATTGACAAGGACACAAAGTGCCACCAACATGAACACAGAGTAACAAAAGGCAAATTGTTCCATTATGGATGTTGGTGTACAAGAAAAAGAGGATATCTAAAGAGCGAGGCTGGTTGCTTTGAACAGAGCTCTGAGGGTAGTGTCCATTACCATCTGGAACTGCCGAAGAAAATGTTTCCATGAAAGTGGCCTTCTATAGAACTTGAGGAAGGGTGCTTGTTTTCCTAGAAAACAGATTTAGTTCTACAAGATGGATAACAGTTAATTTATTAATTATTTAAACTAGGTAGTACTTGAAATTATGAGTTGGGATGGCATTGTTTGTTTCTGAAAATCAGCAGATCTGTACCGTGGCTTTACAGTTGGTTCCTGACAAAAGAGGTTGTTCGACACAAACATGCCTATATCCATAGCCTTTCAGTAAGGTATGAGGCTTACTACAAAGTTTATTCCATGAGAAACAATAATGCAACACTGAAATGTTATTTTGATTAAAAGATATTTTCACTGTTATGTTTGTTTTCCTGGATATTTCAGCTATATTAATTTGTCTGCTCATTTGCTGCCTTGAAATCCTGTATAGCGTAAGAGGATGAACGAAGCCCTAGGAATTTTGCTGCTCCTGTAGAAGTAATGATAACTTACACAGCAGTATCCCTGCTGTCAGTATCAGCAGTTGTGATCATGCTGTTTTATAATGCAAATGCATGTTCATGACTTCTGTCCCTGCTCCAAGTACACTTTTTCAGCGCTCTTTGAAAACATGTTTCAGGTTTCTGTCAGTGACATCTTGTAATAGATGTTCCAGTTGTGTTTTGAGGAGCTATTTTATTTTTCCAGGAAGTTGTGGCAATGGAATTGTGGCAAGGAAATGCTGGGTGACAGATAAGTGGTTTTGGTGTTTAAGAGAGGAACTGTGTTAACCAGAAAAGAACATGGGAGCAGCCATGTGATGGTTAAATCCTCTTTTCCTGGGACAGGGGAAAGATATTCTGGTAATAAGGCTTGAAATTCTTTGACTGATATTAGAGAAATAATTCTGTTTGTCACAGTTGTTGTGGTTTTGTACTGCAATCCAGTATATATCCAACTTGTTCAGTTGGGCTGATTTATTTTTTTTATTTTTTTTTAGTGTTCATGGTAGGTCCTAAATGACCTGAACAGTTGAAAACATAGGAGAGGAGTGTCGGACGAAGCTGAAGTAGAAGGGCAAAATCCAAGGACACCAAGGGAACAAATAGAATGGACAAGAGTCAGGAGTGAGAAGAGAGGGATAAAGGTCTTGATTCTTTTTGATATGTCAGTGGGTATAATAGGATAATGGTACAATAGGTATAGTAATCATGCTGGGAATAGCCTAAAAATGCAAAAATTGGTATGTCAGTGGAAGAGAACTTGAACCAGAAATCCATTTAAATGCTATCTTGTTTTGTTTTGGGGTTTTCCACATCTTTTCTCTAAATTCAGTTCTACCATTATGACCATGTAAATCTGCCAGATCATAATAGTTACGTGGAGAGCCATTAGGGGGCCATATGTACCCACCTTATTTATAGCCTGCAAGGTTGTTTTAAATCAATTTGAAATACCTTAGCTTTGCGTATGCATATAGCCTGTGTAAGTATATAATCTTAATTTTTTTCCTTTGTTCACCTTCTAATGATTGCATACGCATGTTTAAAGTTGCCATAATTGGATGGTGCACCTTTTAGGGAGGCATTGTGTTACATAACTCTTGGCCTTTGTGTCCAATGATGTATATTTAAGCATATTTAAATTCTTGATTACATTGTAATTCTTTTTTCTGTAATCCATTATTTTCATAAGTCTGTATACTAGTTTATTTTACTATAATTTTCTTACAGTTTTAGTATTGGGTCAACACATACTCAGACTGAACATTCTCATGTGTAATATACCAGAGATCAAGGCTCAGCTTACTGCTCTCACACAGATGTTGTGCTGGACAGAAAAGCCCAAAATACAATATTACGGCAAAGATACTCTAAGTGCAAATATGGGTAATAATAAACTCTTCATACAGCAGTACATTAATCTAGTCACTTTTTTCCTAATACTTCAACTGGTTGGTTTAGAGGTAACACTTCATATTCTGCTGCAGACATACTGTCTGTTTAAACCTGAACAAACCATTTAGTCATTCTTGCAAATGGGAGTAATGCTTCCTTATCTTAGATTAGTTATTTCTGAGGCATAGAAATTGCAAGGAGAAGGACCATTTGAGTATAGAGAGAACATTTACATTTAATGTAAATATGATGTGATATGGGTGTTAAATTCACATGCAAGAAATCTGACAAAAGAGTAAGACTTTAGGCATTGCTGAATCTTTGCACTGCCTATGTTCAAAGATGTACTAGCCTTAGTAGGTAAGTTCATGAAATGAAAAATGTTAATTATTCATAATGCTTTGCTGTACCATAAAACTCGATTTATTGAGACTATAATTTGTTCAAGTTGCATGTAGTAGGAAAATATATCAGGAGTAATTAATTGTATTCAGGATGTGATGAGGTATATATATCCACAGAGAACAATTGAAAACAGTAGTGATGTGGTATTGATTGCCTTTCAGAGAAAAAAAAAAATCTTGTCCCATTTCTAAATGTTAACAATTCAGAGAGAAAAATTCCCACTTGGGAAGAATGCTTTCCAGGTTGCTTCATTGCCAGGTGTTTGACATTGAGTGGAGCCTTAGATGAATGAAGCTTATGGCAGCTTTTGGAAATGACCGACTCCAGGGAATGTTGGCTTCCTGCTGTGAAAGTTTCTATTTTCAAAGCACATCAGTTTCAGTGGGAATGTTCCAGTGGTCCCATATGCTACTTCTGACAGAGGGGGAAGTTTTTAACCTGAATATGAGACAGCTACTGAAGACCTTCCCTTGCTGCTAACAGAATGAATTTCAATATGTTGCCAATGAACAAGCAGCATGTTCCCAACTGCTGATGGAATTTATCTCCATCAATTATTAACGGAAATTTTGATTTGTTTTCCTTTCTGCCTGTTACCTTTTAGCTTTTCTACCTGCTCCTGTTAGAACTTTGTGGGTTCTGAAGCTGAAAAAGGAATCACCCAAACAATATGCTTGTTTGCTTTAAAACTGTTGCTGTATTTTCCTCCCCTCCCTCATACGCTCTCTCCTTGACCTAGCAGCAGGAAGCCTTTGTCTGAGGTGTTCATCTGGAACAACTTTTCCACACTTGTTTTCATGTTCTGTTAGATTACAGGGCAGCAGGCCTACCTTTGAAGCTCCCTTCTCTTTTGTTTCTTTGCAGTGCACTCCAGTAATTAACTTTGTCCTTCTTTTATTTGTTCCAGTCAATCGCAGTCCACTCTGCTGAGCATCTTCTCCCAGGAGTACCAGGTTAGAAGTTTTCTCCTTTGTGAGGGTTGACAGGTGCCTAATTGAATGATGAATGTCCCTTTATTTCTTTGTAATTGAACTGCCAGCTTTCTGATTGGTTTGGAGGATGTTCCTTTTTCCACATCAAGCACCGCCTGAGTCTCAGTGGATGGCTGCCAAGCCTACCCATCCATCTGTCTAATAACATCTAGCCTTTGCTTATTTGGTGGACCTGTAATAAATTATGCTAAACCATTATTATTCTGACAATAATAATTTCCCTGTGTTGCATGGTTCCATGTGCTAAATGTTTGCTGACTTGCACTGTCAGTGCTGCTTTCCATTGCTGACAGAGATGATGATAAATGACCATTGCCGGAGTGGCAGAAGGCAAGAGAGGCAGAAAATGGAGTCATTTATCATGAGATGACAGGTGTCAGTCAAGTGGCAAGTCTCTATGGAATTACTTTTTGTAGTTTTTCAAATAAGTTGTTTTTAAGCAATGTTCTTCCTGGTTAAAAATGCCAATTGAATTGTAAAACTGGAGTGCACCAGGCTTAGATGGAATTGAATTGAGGAAAAATTAATACAAAGGTTGAAAGAGAGAACAAGTTTTTCTTTGCCCTCTGCAGCCTTCAATAAACTTATTTAGATTCAATTATTGTGACCTTACTGGCTTTTACATATATGGTACATTGCAGTACAGTCTGAAGACGTTCAATTCAATAGGTAGATTGAATGTCATTTCTGTACAGAATCTAAAAACAGGGTTTAGTTTATATGTCAAAGTGTAGCCAAGGAACATGTGCCTGGACAGTCATGATTTTTGTATTTTGATCTGTGACACATTTGTAAGACTCCTTGTTTTTTTCATTTTTCTAGAAACAAATCAAAAGAACACATGCCAAGCATCACACTGCTGAAGCTGTTGAAACTTACTACCAAAGGTATCACCTTGCCACCCCAGTCAGGAGTATTATCATAACTAGTATTTGTTATGGCAATTATGAGTAAATTAGCTTATTAGCTTATGAAGCTGATTATGAGGATTACAAAACAGTTCCCCTAAAATTGTTTTCAGTGAAAATGCACAAATTTTCCTGTGCTTGGTCACTGATTAAGAAAGTGTTTGCTTCTTTGGCTCGAAGTCAGGGTAAGCAAATATGTTTTACAGAGTATACGATAGCATTTATTGTATGTTGCCTATGTTTGTAATTATAGGGCTTCTGTGTCAAGAATAACATTGAGGATAACTTCCTCACAGCCAGGGAGATTGTTCTGTTACAGTTGCTTGTACTTTTAAAAGATTTGTGTTAGGTTACAAAAAGTTACATATTCATGTATTGCCAGTGAAAGAACTAATTTTTAGATCACTCCTGTTTTATCAACAGAAATGTCAGAAATAGCTATTAAGGGAGGATGAAAACCTTTTTGTCGCTTTACAATATTTTACAATTGTATGCATCTTAAGCTAATAAATTGTATTTGCTACACCTTATAGTTTGTCTGTTTCTTCTATAGGCTTTACTAAAAATAGTGCAGTGACATAATTGGGGCATGCAGATAACTGGTTAAGATACACAATTAAAATATTTCCTTGTAGACTGACGTATCAGCTTGTATGGCAACTGAGTTGATAACTGTGATTATACATGTCTGATATTTATGCTTAATATTAATGTGTATGAATCAGGAACATATACAAAAAGCCTTCATTTGTGAAAATTAACTGTGCTTCCACAGAGCCATATATTTAAAACTAAGCAGAGCTTCATTTTAGTAGACGCTGATTTAGAATATCTAGTGTGAATTGTGCTGTTCTGGGGTTTTGATTTTCTTTTTCTAGTGGCTGTACCGTTCTGTAAAAATATGTACTGGATCATATTGCACTTCTCCTGTGCTGTTTAGGAAGAACATTGGTATGATTAAGTTTGGCTCACATCAGGTAGAAGGATTTGGTCTTCTGTCCCCTTGTGCACTGTCTGAAGTATGATAGTAGTACATAATTAATGCATTATGTATGAAGCTATATGGTGGTGGTAGGGAAGATCATTCTTTATGCCATTTCTGGGTATTTCACATTGCAAATGTATTAACATGGCCAAATAAAATGCACGTTTTAAAATCAGAGATGTTCTGGTTAGTAGTTAGAAAACTCATCTCAATCCTGTTTTAGTAGATTTATTGTATAGTATGTTTCATAAGCTACAAGGGCAGACTGCTTGAGTCAGAAGCCAGTTTGAAATGCTTCAAGCATAAACATGGCAAACATGTCTTCTCGACTTCTCTTTTGTGGCATCCATTTTACTGCTCCAGTCTGTGTGTATGCTCTTTCATATTCTCACCAACATAGAAGCAGATTATTGTGCTCCCATTGCTTTCCTGGGTTGGAAACGATCAGTTTTTGCATGTATCCATTTCAGGTGGCCCCCATTGGGAGCAAGTAGAAGTACAGCTGAGTGGAGTAGTTTCTGCTGCTCTATTGAGACTTATAAGTCTTAAACTTAGGAAAACACAAAGGCAAATTACAGGAAAGATCAGCAGGCTTTTCAGAATAGCATTGTCCTCAGCCTGTGAGAGCTGTTAGGCCATTATGGAGTTGCCAGTCGCATTAGAATTATCTGACAGAAAAATACTCCATTGTTACCTGTAGCTTTGCTATTTAATCAACTGAATGCATGGTTTAGAGCATTAATGTCAAGTAAACCTTCCTGGGTAGGTATTTTGTTTATGATGTCTCCTTTTTTTGTTTCTGTAATAAATTTTTAAAGTTTAAATATATACAAAGTATCTTGCTTTGTGGACTTTTTTTGTGTAGAAATTAAATAGGTTGCAGCAAAAAGCTTTTATAATTTCCTTCATTCTTTAATAAGCTTCAGAATACCTTGCAAACAAAAAGCCCTCTAATGCTCTGTGAAGAGGTTTATGTAAAGGTGTTATACCCATTCCATGTAAGGATAAAATTATAAAGAATTTTAATGTCTGTGACTAATGAGCAGAAGAGTGGCTTCTGATGGATAGATAATGACAGAGCTGGAAAGGCTGTGGCCTTCTAATGATGTCAGTAATGATAAGCTATACGAATACAGATAGGATAAATGAACAGATTCAAATACTGGTAACTACTGTTCTTTTCCACATAGCTGCAAAGCACAGTGGCTTGTGATAATGTAGCTTCTTCCCACCAACTCCTGAGAACAGGTTTTAGTCACTACTGAAATACACACATCAAACAGTAAAAGTTACAGACAGTGAGGAAGGCAATATTGTTATGAAGCAATGGTCAGAAATACCATGTGAATCCATATCGGTGTAATACCCTTAACCAGAAACATTAAGCCTTTGCCACTGATAGGATAATGACTTTCTATCACCCTTTATTGGATCCTAAATATTTAATTTTTTTTTCTTTGGAATATTCATTTGATTGTTAGATTCTGATTTAACTAAAGTAAGCCTTTAGTATTTAAACTACTGCCCAGTTGATAAAATCTGGATTTCATAGAATCATAGAATCGTTAGGGTTGGAAAGGACCGTAAGATCATCTAGTTGATTTGAGAATTTATGTTTTTGTGCATAGAAAGGAATTGAATAAGATAGGTAGTGAGCCATCATAGTTGAAGGTCATGTGGAACCCTAAATCTTTGCTGTGAATAATAAAGTTTTATTTGTCTGTGATGCATCTTTTCCAGAGTACAAATATCATTTATTTGTATGTCATTAAGCCAATTTTTTAAAAAAATTTCTTCATTTATTGTGTTTCTTACTTAATCGAGATTGATATATCTTGCAGATGAATAGGAGGCAACCCTGGAGAGTTAGTGAGTGTTTTAAATATTTTTTTTCTTAAAAAATTTCCAGTTAAATACTCTGTACTGGGGCATTTTCCCCCAAATGAAAGAGGTTCACAAGGGATACTGATATGTATGAACTGGTGTTTTCCTGCCACTGCAGAATTACCTGGCTTTATCTTGTCTAGGTACCTGAATGGGGTGATGAAAAATGCAGCTGCCCCTGTATTACTGGAGCTGGCCAATGAGGTAATCATCTGTACTTTTTTCTTTAATCTTCTAGTGTAAAACCTGAGGGGCATATCTGTAGTGACTTTAGAGAGAAAGGTAATTAACCTAAAAAAAAAAAAAAAAGGTTCCAAGGCACATTAGACATTTAGAATGGTTCCCCAGTCTGTTAGTACTTACAATAATTAGACAAAAAGCCCCATTTATTAATAAATCAGTTAACATAATTAGTCTTAACTTCAAGGCGAATGCATAAGAAATTCTGAATTTGTATTTTGTTGGAAATTTCAGACAGATCGTAGGTCTTTAATGCAGAAACTTACTAAACATTCCCACATTGATTAAATGGAATTTTATCAGTTTTACTTGTATTTGATTTCTTGGGGGGTTTTTTAATAACAAAACCCATCTAAGATTTATTTTTTTTAATGATAGGAAGCTTTAAAGAGTTCATTTTCCTGACTGCATTCTCCGTTTATTTCTGTTCGTACAGATTAGAGGATGGCTAATGAGAACTGTTTAATATAAAGCAATTAAGCAGAATAAATTCCTCAATATAGCCATTTCCTAGAAAAGCTGGAATGTAAAAAGTTCAGTACAGTTGTCATTAAAGCCTTGACATATTTATTGATGCTGTTTATTAACTAGAATATTAATCTGTCTTGGGATGCAATGTCTTCTTTGAATTAAAAACTGCTATCTAAAGCACTACCTTAAAGAAGATGTAAAAAGTTTGAAAGAGTGGCAGTGAGCCTCCTAGAAAAATAAAATTGATAAAATATCTACCCCTTAAACTCTAAAATATTTATTTACAATAATAATGACAATGCAATAGCTGATAGTCCTTGTAACTGCTTATGCAACTCTCAAAGGAATAGAATGAAATGTATGCTGGTTTGTGTTGCATTTTAATAGAAAATGAAAGAAGGAGGCAGAAAATGAGTGTTTGCATCAAAAATGATATGGCACTACAAACATTAAGTGTTGCAATAGCAGCAAGTTCTACATGTTACATTAGTAAGAAAGAATGGTTTCTCCCTCATGTACATTGCTTCAGCCAGCAAATGTACGATTACCTATCAATTACTGGAAGCTTTTAATGGTCTGTGAAGTGTCCACATATCCTGATCATACAGTTAGCGTAGAATAAAGAATTTATATCATATTAGTGGTAATGTGTAGCTTCTTCCCATTTGTGGAAAAGACAAGTCTTAAACTACTGAGAGTAGAATGTACATTACATAAATAAGTACAATCTTATTAAGAATTTAGGTAAACAACCCAATTCATGATATATTGCACCCATATTATATAGGAACCATCATAAAAATCTTTCAAGCACAAACAAATATGTCTGTTACTGGGTTTTGTATATTTTTCCTATTGATTTATAGATGATGCATATAATTTCTGACTCTAGTGAGCATATCTTTGTTTATATTACACTAATGTATTTTTGAAATTCAGATCAAAGATATCTGCAGTTCAGAAATAAATAAAAGCTAAATCTAAAAGAAACAGGAGATATATAAAGAACTTATCTGCTTCTGATTTCA